TTAAGAATAAAGGCAAGAATAGAATAAATAGAAGTCTAAGATAATAACATAAAAAAAACTTCTTAAATACTTAAGGCTAAGTACGAACTTAGTCATAAAACTACGAAATAGTTTATACAGATTGCCCCATAAAAGACTTGGGGACTTACGTTCCAAAACCAACCCTCAAATGAAGTTAAGGGATTGATTACAAATTTCTGAAATAAACCCTCAAATGAAGCCAAGGCTTTTTAACACAACTTTCCAAAGTGGTGCCTGCAAAAAAGAAGGAATTCAAGACAACGTAAATTGTACACTAAGAAGATGTGGGAACTGAAGAAGATGCATCAACGGTAACGGGCTCAACTTGGACAGGAGCATCAACGGTTGCGGGTTGATCTTGATTCACAGCAACTAACTCAACTTGAGCAAGAGCTTCAGCAGATGCGGTTTCAACTTGGCTTGCAGCAGTAGGTTCGATTGGGCTCGAAGAAGATTGAATACCCGTATGAGCTTCAACCACGGGAGCTTCAATCACGGGAGAAGGAAAGTCTTGTGTTTGTTGAGCTTGTTCAATGGTTTCATTAACCTTAGCTAACTCTGACTCCAGGTCGGAGTTTTCTTGACCAGCTTCAATTAGGGTATCACGACGTGAATTCAAAAAAGCCCAGCTTACCTCTACATCAAATTTTTCTTCAAGGATCTCATAATCCTTTTCCCAAGCAGCCACCTCATTCTTGAGCTCTTCATTTTCGGCCAAGGCGGAGTTACAAGAAGCTTAAAGAGAAACATGAGATCTCTTTAAAGCACGTATCTTATCAGTAGAGACTCGAAGCTCTTCTTCTGCTTGAGTTATGTTTTGCACGAGCTCTCCAGCATAAACTTCTTTATGATTCAGCGGAGCCTTCAACGCCCTGTTCTCTTCGCTAGCCTTAGACAGCTGTTCTGAAAAGGAGGATTCAAGGCGTTCTTTCTCTTTTTCTACTTGGTTCAAGGAAGCCTTGGTAACCGCTAGCTCCGAGGTTAATGCTCGCACCTGCTGCTCTAAGGTACTCTTGCTCTCTTGTAAATCCTCCATGTTTATTTGAGCACTGTCAAATTGTTCCTTCCAATTGATTGCTTCCAATTGAGAATCACGTGCAACCTTCTCTGAATCACGTGCTACCTTCTCCAAGAGGGAGATTCTGTTCATCAGCTCAGTGCCGATAAGATTGGCCTAAGAAAAAAGGAAGGGAAATAAGAATCTCGAAGATAAAAATTTTTACAAAGTAAAGAAGAGAAAGAAGGAAAATACCTTCAAAGTAGCATGCACTATGTCATTCATCAAAGTCAGGCTGCTATGGCTCTTCAGTTTTGCTTTCTCGATTGGGCCAATTAAAGGCTCGAGCCAAACGTCAGCTTGACCTGACTTCCTTAAGAGGCTGCTATCAGCAGGAACTTCAATAGTTACGCTCCTCATAGCAGTACTTCTACTCGAAGAACCCACCTCCGTATGGTGAACGATAGGTGGGGGAATTGTCAAAGGAGGAGCGGTGGAAGGAGTAAAAACAGTAGAGGGAGGAACAGAAACAGTGAGGCAGGTAAGGAAAGAGTCACAGGCGCGGGAGTAAAAAAAGGAAGGATAAGGGAAGTTCATCTAAAACAGGCCCTAAATTTCCACTATCAAAACCACTGATAAAAAGTTGATCAATAGACTCACGAGTATCGTGAAGAGTGACGTCATCATCAGGAATAACAACTGGGGTATCAACAGGCTCGGGAAGAGGTAGACGAGGTGAGACTTCAGCTTCGTTATCTGAGACGATACGTCTTCTAGCTCGTGGTCTCGTCACCAGGGACCTCCTTCATCCTCTTCTTCTGAGTCTTCTTCCTCAGAAGCTTTTCTTTTTGCAGAAGAAAAACCCAAGACTATTTCTCGAGCTAAAGAGGTACGGGTACCCGAAGAGTCACGAGAGGCCACAACTGCCTCAGCAGTAACTCCCCGAATAGCAAATCCTGATAAAAAGAAGGATGAAAGTTAGAACAATAAAGGAAAATATTTATATACATGAAAGATAAAATAGAAACTCTTACCATGAGTCTTTACTTTCCAACCGTAACGGTTGGAAAGGTTTTTCCAGGACCTACCCTCCATTGGAGCGGTCTTCAACAATTTCTCTACCCAACCACGGAAGTTGGGCACATTCTCTACAACACCCATGGTTGCTGAGAAAAGAAAAGAAGCGACATTAGAGAAATTAATAAGCTTGAAAGAAAAAGGCACGAGAAAGATATAACACTTACGTGCAAAATTCCACTTCTCAGGGAAGGGAACGTTATCTTCACCCCCTAAGCCAGCAGTGGGGGCAGCAACAAACCGAGCATACCAGCCACGGTCTTTGTCATCTTCAGGGCTCACTAAAACCCTCTTGCTCCTAGCCGCTAGGGTAAAAATGCCATTGCGGAAAAGCCTAGGGGAGTGGAGGTGAATTAGGTGAGGGAAAGTGAAGCCAACATCTGCCATGTTGGCGAGGTGCCTCAAACAGGCGACAACCCTCCATACAATTGGACCGATTTGACCCAAACAAACGTTGAAAAAACGGCAAAAATCTAGAATGATCGGGTCAATGGCTGGTTTGAACCCTAGAGTAAAAGGGTATGTATAAACAAAAGAGAATCCAATCATGTACGAAGTGATCCTCTGATTTGGATTAGGAATGATAATGGGAAAATCATCACACTAGTGACAGTCCTTACGAACTATAGGAGCTAGAATTTCTGTAATTTGAGTAGGGAAAGCATCGGCACGATCTAAAGTGGCAACTTGGTTCCTAAGAGATTCCTTATCATGATGAAAAGATAGTTCTGTTGGGACTATCTCTTCAACTAAAGGCTCACGTAAAGACTCAGAGGGTTCTTTGTTCCTAGAAGAAGACCTTTGAGAAAGGGAACCTCTAGTTCTAGAAGAGGGACCAGAACTAGGAGAAGGTGTGGATGTGCTACCACCGCGAGCAGACCCTAAGCTACGAAGTCTACCACCTCTTCTATGCCTAATGGGAGCATTGGGGAAGTTATCTAAAATAGGAATTCTCCTAGGGTTAGGGTTTGATGAAGTCATGGCGAAGAAGATTGAAGTGAAGAAGAAGTGAATAGAGATTTGAAGAATTGAAGTGTTCAATACGCTTTATGTGGTAAAAGACAAGAAAAGAAGTTATATTTATACTGATGGATAACCGGCAAAAAGAAAAAGTACAATGATGGAAGGACCATAATAATGATAACTAACACTTCGTGAACAGGGAAGCCGAAAAGAAAGCCTAAGAAAGTGCTGCAAAACTGTAGAGCTAATAGGAGGATGACACGTGTAAAAACACATTAAATGGAAGTGACAATTGAAGCGTCAATTTTGTCAGAGCATTAATGGTGACAAAAATAATCTTTTAATGAAATCCACTTTCCAAATATTCAATTGATGAATAAATGGAAAGTGGGGGGACTATCTGTATTGGGAAAAATTATATTTATATATAAAGGTGACGTGTCAAGACACGTGGATTGGTCAAATGGTCAAAGAATTGCAATTAGCCAAGAGTCATGAGGTGCAACAGGAGCGAGCAAAGAAAGAGGAAGAGGCACGGGCAATCAGACAAATAACTCGGCGCCTGTACCTATTTATATTATTTATATCCGAGAATCAGAAGGAATGAATCTGACAATGTAAAAGAGTACAGATACAACATTTCATGGGTATTAAATGCTGAATACGTTAGAGAATATGTTTTAAATGTAATGATTGTGTAACGTAACATTCAATGTCTTTAATTATTCATAATAGCCTCATTATAAGAAAAACGTATATTTCTAGAGGTATCTATAAAAACGAGATGTATGATTAGTTGTAAGGACCAAAAAATACTATTGGAATAGATATTGGTTTATTTGTTTCTCTTGATTATCATCTTGCTATCCAGAATTACTTCTTTTCATTTATTTTCTTGATTATCAGTAACCCGAGTTCTTCTAAATTCTAGCTTTGACTAAAATCTCATTTTTTGGTTAAACAGACGCAAGAAGAAAAGATGAATTCAACGCAGGAACACGCGATTGTGACACCGGAGATGCAATTAATAGCTAAGATCTCAATGGAAATTGGTTCATCTTCGAGGGATACTGGGGTAAGTAATAAGCTCAATCTCAGTGGCTCACCTTCAAATCGTCAATTGGATCAACTAAGTAAGGGCAAATCTAATGGGGAAAGCAATGGAACAGTAACCATTGACAACCCTAATTTAGAGAGGAGGAACAGTGAGGACCCAAATCGAGAAAGCACTCATGAGGTGGACAATTTGAGCTAAATTGAAAAGCTCAGTATCAATCTAGGCACGATTGGTAGTGAGAACCCCCAGGTGAAGGCTAATGAAATGGTAGAACCTACTGTTGTTGCAGGACTCAAATCATGGCCAAGTCTTTTCCAACAGAATAGGGTCGCAACTCATGGAATGGCATTGCGATACATTCCCTCTCAAATTGTGGATGGGCAGACAGTTGTTCAATTGGAATTATGAGATGTTGAAGAAGAAGAGGAGAAATGGAGCTGTGCTTTGATTGCCTACATCATTGGAAGTAATTTTGGATACAATGCAATGAAGAGGTACATTGCTCAATACTGGTTGGATGTTGCAGAACCAGAATTATTTCTGCATGATGAGGGGTACTATGTCATTAAATTTCAGTCAATGGAGGATATGCACAAAATCTTCTATGCTGGCCCTCACACTATTAGTATTGGACCAATCATCTTGAAGCATTGGACGGCTGATTTTGACCTGAGCAAGGAGTTTCTCACATAAACTCCATTATGGGTTATCTCACCTAAATTGCCAATGAGCTTCCGAGGAAGTGAGTCCTTATGCAAAATAACTAGTGCAATTGGGAAGCCAATGTTTACAGATGAGTGCACTACAAAGCAAACACGAATATCGTATACAATAATGTTGATATAGGCTAATGTGACTAAGACTCTACCAATAGAAGTCACCATCATGGATCCAAGAGGAAAGAAATTTCAACAACAGTTGGTGTATGAATGGAAACCAATGTACTGTGACAAGTGCCAAAATATTGGACAGACATGTGCTAACCAGCAAGTCCCTAAACCACAACATGTAGAACAACCTAGAAGAAGAAGAGAGGCTAGAAAGGTTACCTATGAATGGAGAACCAAGGGTCCTGTGGTGGAAGCAGAGGCTGCTAATAAAGTACAAGCTCATGCCCCTAATATGCAACATCATAGTCAAAGCAGTGACCAAATGATAGCCCCAAAGAATTGTCCAATCTCAGAAACAAATATCACAGTGAGACAAGAGTCTGTGCAAAAGGGTAAAGACAAGGAAGTGGCCAGCCCAGAAATGAACCTGACAAATTTTTCTGTGCTACCAACTTCCACAAGTAGAACTGAGGTTTTGTTGACTAAAAGGGGTCATAGTGCAAGCCTTTCCCTGTGAGGAGGGGTTAAACATACCGATTAATGACCTGACTTTTCTGGAATATCAGGGGTGTGAACAAATGGTATAAGCAGAAAGAATTGAAGAACTACCTAAAAATTAATAATATTAGACTAGCAGGTATAGTAGGAACAAGGGTGAAATAACATAATGCAAGTAAGGTAAGTGGTCATATTGCCCCTAGTTGGGAGACTCTCCATAATTACAACTATGATGTTAATGGAAGAATATGTTTGCTATGGGATTCAAGTTACTATGCAATTACTTTGCTGAGAGCAGAAGCACAACTAATTCATTGTTCAGTTAAAGGGATTGCTGATGAGATTGATTGCTTAGTGACAGTTGTGTATGGATACAATACTGTAGAAAAGATAAAATATATATGGGAACAACTGGAGGAGATTGCACAGGGGATTGCCAAACCATGGCTTACTGGAGGAGATTTCAACTCAGTTTTATACTCACAGGACAAACTGTATGAAAATCCAATTAATGCAACAGAGACTAGAGACTATGCAAACTGTGTACAAATACAAGGTCTCAATGCATTAACTTGGGAAGATGAGTATTATACATGGTCCAATAATCAACTGGGAGCTGATAGGATATGGAGTAGAATAGACAGAATGTTTGGGAACTATGATCGAATGATGAAATGGGGAACATTTGTACTGAGTATGGACTGCCTTATATCTCAGATCACTCTCCTATGTGCATGAAGTTAACAATCAAATAGTGGACTGGGAAAGCACCTTTTAAGTTCTTCAATGTATCGGCAGATCATGAAGATTTCTTATCTATTATAAAGCAGGGATAGGGCCAGAGACTCAACAGCAGGAAGATACAAAATATCTGGTTAAAATTGAAGGCACTCAGACCTATGCTAAGGAAGATGAATAGAATTCAAGTTCATTAAATAAAAGATAGAAAGAGCAAGAGCAAACTTACTATCATACAGGGGCAAATCTCTGCAAAATGTACATATGAGTTATTAGTGGAAGAGAGACAACTAATAAAAAACCTAGAGAAATGGGATTTGATGGAGGAATGTGCCTTAAAACAAAAAGCTAGAGCAAAGTGGATCAAGCTAGGAAACTCAAATTCAAAGTATTTTGCAGTAGTTATCAAGAAAAGGCAGCAAAGGAAACAGATAATTGAGCTTACTTCTCTTACTGGAGACAAATTACGTGAACCTGAAGATATCACCAATGAAATAGTGAGTTTTTATAAATCATTGATGGGATCTGCAGCTCACAGACTACCAGCAATAGAAAAGGAAATAATGCAGAAAGGACCAATATTGTCACAACAACAAAGAATTATGTTATGTCAAGATGTCACTGAACAAGAAGTTTATGATGGACTAATGTCAATTGGTAATGACAAAGCCCCTGTTTTTGGTGGATTCAATGCATATTTTTTCAACAAGGCATGGAAGATCATTCACCATGAAGTTACAACAACTGTTATGGATATCTTTGCCACTGGGAAGCTATACAAAGCAATCAATTGTACAGCTATCGCCTTTGTGCCAAAGACTGGCAAACCTAGAACAGTTTAAGAGTTTAGGCCAATTGCATGTTGCACAATGCTTGATAAGCTTATTCCAAAATCTTGGCCACTAGAATTCAAACTGTTATCTCTACTGTAATTAGTGAAGCACAGTCTGGCTTTATACCTGGTAGGAGGATATTTGACAATATCATTTTAACACATTAATTAGTCATAGCCTATTCTAGGAAACACACATCCCCCAGATGCATGATTAAGAGCCAGTTTGGATTGGCTTAAAAAAAGTAGCTTTTAAGCACAAGTGCTTAAAAGCAAACTTTTAAGTGCTGGGATTTGTTTTATAAATTAGCAGTTATCTGTTCGGATAAAAGTGCTGGAGCTGAAAAAAAATTATTGAATTATTTGGTAAACAAGTGGTGGTAAGCTCTTTTTCTATTAAGAAGACAAAATATCCTTAAAGTTGTTAACATTATAAAGGAGCTGATTACTACAATATATTTAATTATGAATTAATGCAAATAAAAAATAATTTATATTTTAATTTAATTTTAATTTAATTGATTACTTTAGATAATTTTTATAAATATAATTCTTGAATGCTCATTTTTCACCACTTTCAATCAAGTAAACTTCCATAAAAGTCTCAACAACAAGCTTCACAAATTTCATTAGCAATCAAATTACAAATTTCATTTCTCCATTTCCGCCATACAACACATGACAACTACAAGCTAGAAAACATACACATACTACAAGCCACGTCAATCCACAAAGTATATATTAAAATCAATGTTGCCTACAAAGATAAGAATTCGTGTTGTTCTATGATGCATATAATAATAAAAACATAATAACTGAAGCTTACAAATAATGACCAATTCGACGAAACAATAATTGAAGCTTACACATTATTTTGTTTCATGTTTGTTCTTTTGTCCTAAGAGATTTAGGAAGCAGAGTATGCATTTAGAATTGGCATTGAGTGGATACAATTGGGTGTGATGCTTGAGGAAAGTGCAGAAAATGAAGATGAAGCAGAGAGGAAGGAGAAAGAAGAGGAACGACTGAAGTGAAGGAAATAGGAGAAGTAGATGTTTTAGGGTTTCTGAGGGTAATTTTGGTATTATGAAAACTTATAATGGACAAGAAAGTAATTTTATTGTTCAAACTAAAATGGCTTTTAAGCCAAAATCGTAAAAGTTGGGGTTAGCCAACTTGTTGCTTTTGGCTTTTTTTAAGCATATTTTAACTTTTTTTAAGCCATTTTTTTCTTGCCAAACACTTCCACAACTAAAAAAGGGCTTAAAAGCTGGTTTGACCAGCTTTTAAGCCCATCCAAACAGGCTCTAAGATAGATCTTCAGAAGGCATATGATTCTGTGGAGTGGCCCTACTTGAAGCAAGTTATAGAAGAGCTAGGATTTCCTAAATTGTTCATATCATGGGTTATGGAATGCATACAGACAGTCAACTATTCTGCATAGTTAATGGAGAATATTCAGTGCCATTCAATGCTGCCAAGGGCCTCAAACAAGGTGATCCAATGTTATCTTTCTTTTTTGCATTTGTAATGGAGTATTTGAGTAGAAGCTTACATGATCTTAAGACAAACAAGGAGTACAACTATCAACCCAGGTGCTCAAGGCTCAAGATTACTCACTTGTGTTTTGCTGATGACATCTTGCTATTTGCTAGAGGGGATGTGAAATCAGTAGATGCAATAGCTCATAAATTCATGTAGTTTACAAAAGTATCTAGGCTACAGGCTAACCAAAGTAAGAGTGCAGTGCATTTTGGAGGAGTATCAACAACATATTTTACAACACTTGGGTTTCACCATAGGAGACCTACCTTTCAAATATTTGGGAGTTCCCCTATCTACAAAGAAATTGGGTATCATGCAATGGAAACCTTTGATAGACAAGATGACATCAAAAATAACCTCATGGACTGCAAGGAAGCTCTCATATGTTGGCAGAGTCTAGCTAGTCCAAAGTGTTTTGTTTGGAATACAAGCTTTCTCGGCTCAACTTTTCATTATCCCTGCCAAGGTGATCAAGGTCATTGAAGGTATATGCAGATCTTATGTGTGTTCAGTACCAATGTGATCACAAAGAAAGCTCTACTAGCCTGGAATAAGGTATGTCTACCCAAAGCTGGAGGTGGGCTGAACCTTGCAAATCTGCAAATCTGGAACAAAGCTGCTATACCTAAAGTATGCTGGGATTTGGCTCACAAGGAAGATAAGCTACAGATCAGATGGATCCATGCCTACTACATTAAAAATCAGCAATTCAACATTACCCTGACCCCTCAACAGGCTTGATGGATGGTTATGAAGATCTTTGAAGCTAAAGGTTCCCTAGAGAATATTATACTTGCACAGACACCTAAGAAGAGCCTAATCAGGCATATATACTTTCATCTGCTTGGTGACTACGCAAGGGTTGAATGGAAAAGCATCATGTTTAACAATGCTGCACGACCAAAAACAAAGTTCACAATGTGGCTATTGATGCGTGGAAGACTACTAACAAGTGATAGGTTAAGCAAATGGGGTATATATATGTGAATACACAATGTACTTTATGTCAAGAGTGGGAAGAAACAAAAGAGCACCTATTTGTACACTGCAAATATGCAAGAGCTGTATGGACAAAAGTATGGCATTGGATACGGTTACACGAGCCTACTACAAGAGGTTGGAGTGAATATAGTCAATGGTTCATCAAGTGTTCAAGAGGGAAAACCCAACAAGCACTGATCTTCAAACTTGTCTATGCAGTAGCTATTCACCACATTTTGATTGAGAGGAACTTACGCATATTCGAACAAAGGAGTAGGCAATATGGAAACATTGCAAAGGGGATAGCTTATATTTGCTGTGTTCGGGCACCCCCTAGGATCAAAGCCCAACTACAGTCTTATGTCTTCTAATATGATCAAAGTAGGGAGTAGGTAGTTTTCTATGTTTGCTTTCCTATTGAGATGGCTAGTTTTGTTGGCTTAGCTATGGATTTGTAACTGACTGCTTTGGTGATTAATAAAATTAAGTTAGTTACCAACAAAAAAAAATTGTGAGTTTCATGTCCATGCACTTATAAAAATATGGTTGAAAAGAAAATAGTATCCAACACTCCAACTAGGGGTATACAAAGAAAATCGACGAACCGCACCAAACCGATAATACGAGTCAAATCGAGAAAAAAAATTCCGACTATGGTTTGGTTTGGTGTTAGAAAAAAAACCTGACCATAATTGGTTTGGTTTGGTTTTGACTAAAACAAATCAAACTGAAACCAAACCAACCCGACATACATGTATACAAGTTTTAAAAATATTTTATACATAAAAATAATTATATTGTAATTTATAAATATTTTTTAACTTTTTTCACAGTTCTCTCTTTTAATTTATTATTTCAAGCTTGGACTAGAACTTTTGAATGGTCAAATATGTTTCATAGCCCATAAAAATTAGTAACTCGAATAAAGCCCAAAGCAATATCAAATTAATAATACTGTTAAAAAAATTCAATTCAATACTAGGAATGACTGTAGTATTGAATATGTATTGTTTTGGTTTTGCATTGGTTTAGATAGTGAGAATGCATAACTTACTTTTAATATTATTTAGTCATGTAATTAATACTTAGTACTTATTAGTCGTACGTATTTTAGCATGACTTAGTAATTTTAGATTGTGTTTATTTTTATTATGGCTTATTAATTAGCAAGAATTAATTTATGCGATTTGTTGAGTATTTTAGTATAATATAATCATGACTCATCTCACATTATTTTATATTATTTTAATGAGTAACATATTATATAATTTTATCCTAGAAGCTAAAAGATATTAGAACACAGATTATATATTTTATGCTATGAAGATTTTGTCGGCAAAAATCCGAAAAATCCGATTTTTTTTTGTTTGGTTGGTTTATAGATTTAAAAATCTGAGACAACTGGCCTGGTTTGGCAATTGAAAAATCCGAACCAATCCGATCTATGTACACCCCTAACTCCAACAATAAAATAAAGATAAAAAACTAACACAGAAAATTATAATCAAAACCAATTTTTTGTATTATACTATCTAAGAATTACAAATAATACTTGTCAAATAAAATAAGGAAAAATAAAACATAAAGAGGGCGAGATACCCGAAAAGCCCTGTTCTATTGCGGTAGGGCTGGCCTTTATAGACTTGTCAGATTATGTTGTATGAATGATGAACCGACAAAATGAGACCATTTCAAGACTTGACCCATTCTGTAAAGAATATTTTGGGCCCATATGACCAGCCCAAGCTTTCATGGGCCTATCTATTCAAAATGGATGGTTTGCACAAATAGGACTCTGTGGTGCTACTATTGATTTTTTGACA